CACACACAACAACACACACACACACACACACACACACACACACACACACACACAGGAGGTGTCCCTGGGCCAGGGCCGCCCTAGGTGCATCAGAAGTCCGGGTCCTTTATCTCAGGGCTCGCAGGGCACAGAGACCTCAGACAGCTCAGATCTCCTCCCCCAAGCCTTCTGCGTCATCTCCCTCCACTGAACTGCCACACCAGGCCCGGGAGGCTGCAATTAGAGCTGTCAGGTGCCCGCGGCACAGCGGTTCAGCCCAGTCAGGCCGGTGTTGCCATGGAGACCATCGCCTGAACTGATGGATGCCCAGCCCCTCCCACAGCAGTTTCCATGGAGAAGGTCCTGATGTGCTCCAGTAACTTCCGCAGCCCTTTGTTCCTCACAGCAGCTCCAGCGTCATGCCAGCTGCTCTTGATTGGGGTTATTTATTTTTCTTTCCTTCTCACATGGTGACTGTCTGTGGCCTTTTGAAGCCACTGCTCTTTCACTGCCCAGGATCCAGGGATGATCGTGCCCTGAACTGGCTTCTGGTGCTCCCAGGAATCCCAAAGTCAGGTTCCACGTGTGCACACCTCCCAGCCAGGCCTCCACTCCCAGCCCGTGGGCCCAAAGTTGCTGGCCCCAGTCCCGCCATGCAGGCAGAACTCCAAATCTCTCTATGTAGCTGTATATCTGAATTGAAGGATGTTGAGGCCAGGTGGGCTCTAGGGTTCATATGCCACCCAGAGAGGTTGGGCCACTTGCCTGAGGACACACAGCTTCTAAGGGGCAGACTTCCTGCTTTGGCTCCTGGTCCCGAGCTCTCTCCAGTGCCTTCCAAACTCTGATTGTCTAGCAGCAAAGTGACTTCTCCAGGCACTGCAGCCAGAGGAAGGTAGGCCCATCCAAGGGCACAGGGGCTGTGCCTTCCCGTCCGGGAGAGCCCCTTCCGTGGTGGAACCTCTCTTCTGTGCTGGGCTCTGGGGGGCCCACCTCCACCTCATCCCTGGAAACGCACCCTCCTGCTGCTGATGCCCAAGGCCAGCCCTGGGCCAGGCCAGGCTGCCAGGAACACTGTGGGGAGCCTCAGGAGCAAGTCCCGGGTTGAGGCTGGGGTCCCTCCGGGTCATGGATGGGCCAGTGCCCAGGATGGGTCACCCAAGAATGAGCGTCTTCCTGGCATTAGGCCACAATGCGAGGGCTGGGGTCTGGTCTCCTGGCCTGGAGAGGTGGAGGAAGGAAGGTCTCAGGCCGCACTCCGCACCCTCTGTCACCCCAGCCTCCAGCAGGTGCACCTCTCGACCCCCTCCCGCCTGGACACTAGGTGGCGCTCTCCACCCGGTCCTGGGCCGTTCTTGGCCCCTTGCTGGGAAAGGTGAGTGGAACCTGAGGTCAGCCCACCCCAGGAGAGCCAGAGGCCAGCAACCCTACCCCCCGCATTCCCAGAGCAGACTCCCCCACAACTCGGCAATCCAGCCTTCCCCTCGCTGTCTGAGCCCTGAGCAGCACCTACACATCATTGCCCACATCAGGCAAGACAGGGTGCTGTTCATCACCAAGCGGGCACAGTGACCTGAGAGCAGGACTGCCCGGGGCACTGAGACATAAGGCCACCTCTTTGCTCTGTGGCTGCCCTGGCTGGTTCCAGCGGGAGTTCGGGGAGTGCCCATCCTTTTCCTGTGCTCCACTGCTTCTGGGCAGGATCTCCTGGGATCCTTGGGGGCAGGGCCCTCTCCCCTCCAGCTAAGCAAGTTCATCTGAGCCCCTCTCCTCCATCCCCTCCCTCCACCCCAACTCCGCCGCCGATGGGAGCAGCTGCCCCGCACAGCCAGGCTGCAAGCATGTCAGTGGACCGTGTGTGCAGAGCGAGGGGGCTAGCAGGCTGTGTGGGCAGTGGCACACACAGTTGCCCTCTGTGGCTCGGCACAGAGTCCAGGAGCTGATGTTCAGCCCCACCCCATCCCCAGCGCCCAGCAGGGAGCCCCTCTCCAACCCAGGCAACCTCCGAGCCCCTCCAGCTCTGAGCCGGCCTTCCAATTTTCTGTTCTGCTGTCTTTTTCTCACCTTCTTCATCCATGTCCTGGCTTCATCCATGTCCTGGCTGTCCTCACCACACCCTTGGGATCCTGGGTCTCCCCTCATCTCCTCACCAGGACTTCCAGTCCCTGGAGGACCACCAAGATGCTCAGGCCTATTTCCACAGCTCAGAGTTCCCACAATCTGTCCACCAGCCAATGACAGAGAAAGCCCCCTCCCCCACTCATTTCCTTCCAGGGGTCCCACCGGCCAATTTGCAGGGGCATCATGGGCTGAAGGGTTTGGAAAGCTCTGTGCTCCCTGCTGCTTGGAACTTGATGTTCCGATTCCATAAGGGGGTCAGGGGTCAGGACTGCTAGCCCTGTGTTGGATGCCAGCTGAGGAAGGCAAGGAGCATCTGGGGGGGGGTCCTCCCCCACCAGGGACTTGGGGACAGGGGTGGCAGCTAGGGTCCCTATTCCTGCTGCAGTCCTGAAACAGCGGTTCTCAAAAGTCAGGACGTACTGCAGTTGGGAATCTGCACGAGGGCTGGGAGTGCAGACAACTGTCCGAGCGGTGCAGCCACAGAAGGCGTGTCTCTCCACCCTCCCTGTGTGACTGACCCCCTCTGCTCGCCTCTGTTCCCTCCAGGGAGGAGTGAAGGTTCTCATCACAGGCCCGTGGCAAGAAGCCAGCAATAACTACAGCTGCCTGTTCGACCAGATCTCAGTGCCTGCGTCCTTGATTCAGCCCGGGGTGCTGCGCTGCTACTGCCCAGGTGAGAAGGCTGTGTCCCAGCAGAGGCGTGGGGCCCCAGAGCACCGGATGCCAGTCACCCTGGGGGAGGGGGTGACCCTGGGAAGTTGGGTCATTACTCTGGGCCTCGGTGTCCCCTGACATGAGGGATTCGCTATTATGATGCCATCTGTTCTGGGCTGGTGGACCCCTTTATCAGGCGGGACACAGGTGTGCTCAGCTGGGATTTTGCAGAGAACCTGATGGGGGACTGTTCAGGTATCCAGTGAGCCAGGTTGACACACCCAAGACGGGCCACAGCAGGAAGCTCTGACCACCCTCCGCCTGAAGATGACCAGAGCTGATGAGAGCCAGGCGGGCGGAGGGCTGCCAGCTGGGCCTGGCGTCGGGGCCAGGAGGCCTCCCTCTCTCCGCTGGCCCGTGCCTCCCACGGCCCAAGCCAAGCAGAAGCCACAAGAACAAGAGAGCTCACGGGACCAGTCCCCCGGGGCACAGAGCAGGTCAGAGGGGGATGGAGAAGGTCTGGAGGAGAAGGGGTGTCAAATTGAGAATATCTGCACAACCTCCTTTGAGAATTTGGTGAAGCCGTCCACCCCGTGGCCAGAAAAAGGCACCAGCTCCTTGTCCGCTTCCACTTTCAGGGACAGGGGCCCCCGAGGGCTGCCCTGTGGCTCTGGCCTTCTCCCTCTCACTGAGACTCATCATCGTCATCCATGTAGCTTCACGTCCTTATCTGGTCAACTTGTCCTTGACCTCTGGCCATTACCACCTGCCAGTGGCATGTTGGCTCCATGAGGACAGGGACTGTGTCTTTCTCGGTCACCATTGTGTCCCCAGGGCTCAGAAAGTGCCTGGCTAGATAAACAACAAGGACCTCCTGTACAGCACAGGGAACTGTATTCAGTAGCTTGTAATAACCTATAACGAAAAAGAATATATGAATATATATGTATGACTGAATCACTATGCTGTACCCCAGAAACACATTGTAAACCCATTACAGTTTAAAAGCGCCTGGCATGTCACAAGAAGGGAGAGCATATCTGTGAAGGAGTCTGTTTCTAGGGCACATGTTTTCTGTTTCTGGGGGGGGCTGGGGCTGGGGAGGCCCCCTGACTGACCTCTCATGGGCACCGTCAGCTCCAGGCTTGGCCGTCCAGCTTGCCCAGGCGGTGAGCGGAGAGGCAGGCGAGGAGGCAGGTGGCAGAGGGCCCCAGTCCATGTTATCTGAAGCTAGGGCATCTACAAACGGTGAGAAAGAGAGCCCCCTGTGGAGGGCCAAGGGTAGGGAGGAGAAGTGGGGGCAGGGGTCACGGGGCAAGAGTAGAGCCAGTCAGTGCCAGGGGCCTGGTTCCACCCAGGGTGATCCAGCTTGAACCCAGGGCTGCCCCCGCTCTCTGCGTCCCCCCAGCCCAGGGCTCCTGAGCTGACATGGAACATTCTCTCTCTCCCTCCATCTCCCCACGCAGCCCACCGGAGCAGAATGCCTCTGCTCCAGGGCTGGGCTCACCTGCTTGGCCTCCACTTCATCCCAGTAGCCACGTCCCCACAAACAGCCCAGGGAGCCAGGGCTGCTGGCCCTGCCCCCACTGGCCGCCTGGCTGGCTGCACCGGACCCACTCAGCACCCCCCGCTCCCTGGCTCCCAGCAGCCCTCCTGGGCCTGGACCACAGCCACCCCGGATGGATGACAGCCAGGCTGGGCCAGCCTATCCCAGCTCAGGGCTGTGTGTGGCTAATGCAGCCCCCCGCCCACCTCTGCGGGTGAGCTGGGGGAGAGGGCAACGTGCTATTAAAGTGTCCGCTTATCACCTGCTGCTGGAACAGGACCCGCCTTGCCTATAAATAGATGCACTTCCTGTACCTGGTTCTGGCCTGGCTGAGGACCCAGACCTTGCCTGTCCTGAGTTATCTGAACCCTCAAAAAAAAAAAAAAAAAAAGACCGGCCTTTGCGTGCCCTCTGGATGGTGTCCCAGGCCAGGACCTGGCAGATCCTGGGGGCTGGATCAGTCACACCACGCCCATCCCACATCAGCCGGTTACCATCTGGCAACTTGGGCCTGGTGGATGACCTCTCTGGGCTTCCGTTTCTACATCTTTCAAAACCGCCTGCCAGATGGGCAAGAGGCTGAGAAGAGGAAGGTCCAGGAAGCTCCTGGCTCGCAGGCTCAATTCTTGAATCTACTGTGCATGTAGGGCCTTGCCCTCCTGTCCTGGAGGGGAGCCGGAAGAGGGGCCCTGGGCTGTTCAGGTCTCAGCAGGTGGGTCTCCTGGTCCCAGAGCATCTCTGGGTCCCCAGAGCTGGCAGGAGAGTCTGCCCAGGTCACTGTATCTCCCAGCCCTTCAGGCTCCCCTAACATCCTGCATTTTGGACCCAGGGAGGCTCAGCAGGTTGAGAACCAGGGCTCTGCTCTGTTCTACCACTAACTGCAAATGGGGGTCCCTTTTGGACATCCCTGTTTTGACGCCCTGACTGAAACATGTCATTCTGTCAGAGGGCACTGGGTGGAACAGGCAAGCACTCATTCATTTCTTCATTCAGCTAATGGTTTGCCAGGCACCTGGAATGGAGCTGCATCCCAGCCCCCCTAACACTGACCTTGACCCCAGGGAGTTTTCAGTCCGGGAAGGAGTTGGTCATGCACATGAGCAACATCCTAGGGGGTGAGGCTGGCTGCTCAAGGACACCTCCCCTGGGTTTCCCAAAGGCTCAGGGAAACTGGAGCTGATCTAAAAGAAAGAATACTTGAAGCCAGAACCAAACAAGCTGTGCCAAAAAGGAGGCCTTGGAGGTCTGTGAGCACAGGGCAGGACACCTTAGGAGCTAGAATGACATGGGAGGGGGCACAGAGGGTGCAAATGGCCACCGCCCACCGGCCTGGTGCACCTGCCCAGGCAAAACGGATGGGGAGGCTTGACCCTGGCCAAGTAGATGGTGCTTCTGGGCAGCTCCCCCTCTGTCGCTGGCCACAGAGGACACAGAGTCATGGAATCTGCCTCCTGCAAGATTCCAGAAGTGCTGCAAGATCAGGAGGGGGACAGCCACGCCAGACCACTGAGCTTGGGCGGCACAGCAGTGGAGGACTTTGGACTTAGGAAAGGCAACCTGAGCTCAGAAGAAGTTGGAAGAATTCCCCCAATGGGAAGATTTTGCTAGAAGCAGCCCCACGCTGGATCCCTTGAGGCCCCCCATGCAAATGATGAAATTCAAAATGAGATGAGCTGGTGTGCTGTGTTTTGAATCAATTTGCTCAACAAACAGGGATTGAGAGGCCATAACAGGCCAGGCATTGATCTTGGTACTGGGCATGAAGAGGTGACCAGGACAGACCGGCTCCCCGCTCTCGCAGAGCTTACCTTCTACTGCAGGAGGCAAGAAACAAACAAGGAAAGAAAAAGATAACCACGATAACTGGGGGGAACCACGTCGAGACACTAGAATATGGTGATGTGATAAACTCACCTGGGAAAAGGGAGGTTCCTGTGGACAGACTGATGAGGGAAAGCCTCTGGCAGGCTGGGGTATTAGGCTGGAACCTGAATGATGAAATGGAGCTAGTCATGGGAAGAGTGGGAGGAATGCCTCCAGGCAGAGGGCAAAGGAAGTGCAAAGGCCCTGAGGCAGGAACAGGTTTGGTAAGTTGGAGAAATATGAAGGTAGTGGGGAGGGGAACGTGGCTAGGTTGGAGAAGACAGCAGGGACCAAATCGTGTGCACCCTTCTAAGTCTTAAGAAAGAGTTTGATTTGGTTTTACTTGCTATGGAAGCCATTCGTTTTAAGTGGGGAGTGACTTGATCTAAATTATGTCTCTAGAAGACGATTCTGGGTGTGTGGGAGAATGGATTGTAGGAGGGAAGAACAAAGCAGGGAAACCGTAGGAAGGGGCTGAGCGGTGATCTTTCCCGACTCAAGGAGAAGGGCTCCCTTGGGCAACACACTCCCACGGGTTTCATGGGGTGTGGCCCTTCTGACCCATCCCAGCAGGAACAGGTAGGTCTCAGGTGTGCTGGGGTGGCCCTCAGCAGGAGGCTAGTGCAGGAGTCCAGGCATCTAGGCTAGAAATGATGGCAGTTTGGGCCAGAGTGTTGGTCATTGGGATGGAGAGAGGGACATGGATCTGGACTCGCTGATCGATTAAACACGGGGAGGAAAAGAGATTGCAGGAAACTTCCTGGGCCTGCATGCCCCAAGCTGCTGGGCTGGGACCCAGTAGACTGTGACAGGTCCTCTCTGCTCCGTCGCCTGGGGAAGGATGAGATGGCTTTGCATCTGCCACCATTCCAGCATCACTGCCAGTTACGCGCATGCCAGGAGGTGACACAAGATGAGCAGCAGGTAAGGAGGACCCTCCAGCTGGAACATCTGGTACGGAGAAGCCTTGAGCGCCCCAGGGGCCAGTGAGAGGCAGAGGCTTGCTCAGAGGCGCAGAGCAGAGCGGGCTCAGACGGGGCACACGCTGATGCCCTTCCTTCCTGTTGGTAAACCAGGCAAGTCTCCAGGGAAAGCAAGTGACCGCGAGCTTGGAGATCTGCCCAGGGATGCTGTCAGAGCCCAGGGAGGTCTGGACTTGGCTGGGGCTCCCTGCCCAGAGAGGCGCTGCTGGAATTCCCATGGGACCCACCCACCACGGAGCCAGCTTGTGATCTGGTGCTGAGGGACCCCACTGGGTGGGAAGCACAGGGCAAAAAACCACAGGTCATCCTGGGACAATAACCTCCTGCTCTGGGGACAATGGCATAACCCATCCACCTGGGATGGACAGAGGCCATGAGCCAATGAGTCGGTTTTCCCATCAGACGTCCTCAGAGGGAAGCCAGAGTTTTCCTCGGCCCCGGGGAGCAGCTGACTTGGACCGCTTCCTCGAGGCTAAGCTGCTGAAAACCAAGAGCCCAAGCTGTAACAGGATCCTGTGTGTGTCCTCCCTGGAAATCTGTCCTGGGGAGGCCCTGGGCACTGGTGTCTGGTGTTCCAGAAAAGCAGGGCAGAGAGCACATAACCCTGACGTCTGCGGGGGCCGAGGCCGGGCAGGGCAGAGCAGCCTGCCCACCCCCACCAGCCCCCAAGACTTCAACATCCGCCTCAAGCTCAGAAGTGAGCGGGTCCCCGCCAGGGGCGGGCTGCCCTCTTGCTGACAGTGAGGATGCCCTATTCGTTTATTCAACCAATACTTTTCGCTGAGCCCCACACTGCGGGCCAGAGCAGCTCATGAGGCCCACAAGGGTTTGTCTTCCTGAAGCTTCGCATTCAAGCATTGGAGGGAGGAGCAGGTTTCATGCCAGCCCCCAGCCCAGCACCACTGGGCTCAGAGTCGCAGGCACAGCCAAAGCTCTTGCCCTCACCAGGGAGGCAGAAGAGCTTCTAAAAATACACAGAGAGCCGTGCTAAGAGTCAGGATAGGCTTGTAGGAAAAGGTGAAACAGAAATGAGCGCAAAGGGGTCCAGCGCAAATGCTGTGCCTGAACCCTGGCTCTGATGACTGGAGGGCAAGGAGCCAGCCAGCCACGGGGCAGGGTGGCGGACCAGCCTCCCATCCATTCATTCGGCCGATCAACACAGGGCTCCCAGTCCCTGTCCTCACCATAGAGCAGAGGAGCCAACCCCGAAAGGCCGTGGGGAGAGGCCAGTGTACTCCAGGCTGTTGGGTGGTACCCAAGCTAAAGGGTGCCCCCCACCCCTACCTTGACCTCTCTTCCTTTTGCTTTCAGCTCATGACACTGGTCTTGTGACCCTGCAAGTTGCCTTCAACAACCAGATCATCTCCAACTCAGTGGTGTTTGAGTACAAAGCTCGGGCCCTGCCCACGCTCCCCTCCTCCCAGCACGACTGGCTGTCACTGGACGGTAAGAACAGCGCTCGGGTCACCTTACCAGGCCGTACGCGAGAGGGACACTTGGGAATCCAATGCACAAGGTGTGAAAAAGGACACATCCAGGTCTCCTAACTTGCACTCCAGGCACAAGTCTCCACCTCAGGGGGACAGACTAGGTCCCCATCCTTCATCTCTGTCTCTCCCTGGGACAGAGTGAGTATGTGAGCTTGGGTCCAGGGCCTGCTGGGGGGCTCTGAGCGGCCAGGCAAGCCCCCAAGTTGCTGAGAGGACCCGCTCTCTCGATAGACCTGGAGGAGCAGGGTCCAAGCATCCTCAGCTGCCTGCCCCCCCCCAGGGGGGCTCAGCTTCTCAAAGCAGAAGGACTTCCCAGAGGCCATGACCAAGCCCTGCGCCCCTGGGGCAGGGGAGGGGGTGGGGGAGTGGAGAAGGGCAGGGTGGGCTTCTTTCAGATTCCAAGACCTGGACTTTGTGTTGAGGGCTCCTGCCAGTTAGGGACAATAAGTCAGATCTTCTCTCGGAAGCTGTCCAACAGCCGCCAGCCTCTGCTTCTAGGCTGCTTTTCCTTTGGCCTCTGCCCTATAGAGCGTCTGACACAAGCCCAGGCTCGTGATCGTGGCTGAGGGTGGAGGGCCAAGGAGTCCCTGTAGGCTCCAAGGGAGGAGGCAGGACGTACCAGCCAAGGATGCATCCCTGAGAGCCACCGGCCTCGTCCATGGGGTTCTGAGTGCTGGCTGCTCCCCTTGGGGAACCAGAGGCTCTACAAAGAAAAGCTGCCAAAGACAGGTGGGGGGTGCCATGGTCCAAGGCTGCCCTTGCAGGCCTGGGCATGCCTAAGGGGAGCCCTGGACTTGGCCTGGAGGGGAAGGGTGCTGAGCTATCAGTCTGCTCTCTGCACTGGGCCAGAGTGGGAGGGGTGGCTACACACGGCCTTAGCATCAGGGCAGCTGCAGAGGCGCCTCTCTGTGGGACACCTCGCTGGAGAGCTTGTCAGCCCGAGGCGTTGGGTCTTGGCTAAGCTGACCCTGGGCCCTCTGTGGGGCTCACTTACTTAAGCTCCCCTCCCTCATCCACAGCAGCCCTTTGCCTTCCCACCTCTCAGCTTTCCCCTGGCTGCTGGCTGCCGGGCCATTTCTGGGCTTGGGTACATGCCCTGGGCAGCTTTCCTGAACCACCCAGGGTGCAAACGTCGGTCTTGTCCCAGACCCGGCCCCAGCCATGACAGGGTGCCTGGCAGCCACCCTGGCCACTAAACCCTCTGAGCTATTCCCAGAAGTGGCTTTGGCTCAACAGGCATCCGCACCCTGGCAGTTGTTGCCTGGGAGCACCAGGCTGGTCTTGGCAGCCACCCCAACCATGGCTGAAGCCAGCCAGAGCTGTAACGATGACCTACAGGATGCAACAGACAAGGGCAGGGTGACCAGGGGCTCCCGTTCAGGAAATCCTGTTTCCGTTTTGCAGAACAAATAGGAATGGAAACAGGGAACTCTGCAGAGCCCCGGCTCTCCCTGAGCGACCAGGTCACCTCCGCAGGGTGGACTGAAGGATGCTGAGACCAGTCAGTGTAGGACCTGCTGGGGAGATGCAGCCTTTCAGAGCCAAGTCCAGCCCCACAGTGCCTGGGAGCGCAGGAAACGTCAGCCGGCCCCCAGGAAGCCTGGAGAGCCGGCTGTACCGGGAGGTGGTGGCCGGCAGGGGAGGATGCTGTGATGGAGATCACGGGGAAGGCAAGCCACCTAACTGCTTCATGACAAGCACATCCCCAAGTCCATGGCCACATGAGGCCCTTCGGGCAGTGGGCCTGCTGCCAGGCAGGACACTTGCTCTGCAGCAGCCTCCTCTGCAGGGACTGGGAGCTCTGACCTCCACAGGCCTCCCCCTGAAATAAGCTTCCCCCCCATCCGCCCCGCAGCCCCTGGCAGAAGACACCAGAGAGATGACAGGAGTTGGGGAGAGGAGGCAGGGCTACCCCTACAGAGAGCAGATGGGGGCTGTGAAGGACCCCAGACATCTCTTTCCCTAGGGGCTTGACCAGATGTCCTTTCAAGTAGTGGGAGGGAAAGGGGGGGCCAGGGCGGAGGAACTGTGAGGCCCCACCCTGCCAGGGTAGAGGGGAAACTTCCCTCTCCTAGTTCTCGCCCCTCACCGCGCCCCCATCCTGAACCGAATACAAGTGACTTATTCACCCAAGGATCCTTTTCGCAGCATTTCACCAGCCTGATAAATAATAGCGGTGGGGGGAGGGGAGCAGGACTGCAGCCGCAGCGCCAGGAGCATAGTCCTCCCGGTGCAGAGGGGGCAGCTGGGACAGCCCGGGGCGGGGGGTCCCCCGGGCTCTGGCCGTCCCTGTGGTCTGAGTGAAGAAGTGTGTCAGAGAAGATGCTGCAGTGGCCAGGCTGTCAGAAGCCCTCCTTTCCTCTCCGCTCCTCTCCCCTCGCGTCTCCGCAGCTCCTCACCTCCGCCCCTCCCGCCCCCACGGTTACCGGGCAAATTCTCAATTCGAGCTGCGGGGAGGTGGAGGGGCGGCGGTGGAACGGGAGGGGGCGAGGGGACTGCGGCGCCGAGCAAACTGGGGCGCGGCGGCCCGGCGGCGCGCGTGCACAGACACACCCGGGCACGGACACACACGCCTGCACACACGCACGCTTGCACGCCGGGCGCAGCTGCAATGCAGGGAGCCCCGCGCGGGGCGGCGGGCAGGCTGCGCACGCGTCCGCCGGGA